CCACACACACACACACAGCCACGCGCACACAAACACACATAGAGAAAAACAAACAAACAACAACAAGCAAATTCAAAGTAACGTTTGTCAAAAGAAATAAACAGACAAAAAGTGAGAACAGACAGAGCGCCATCCGAGCTTCCTAATCTAAGCAAGAGTCAATCAGATAGAGGAGTCAGAAAAACAGCTATAGACAAGGGGGAGGAACTAGACGAGAGCTGTGTTACTTTATACGGAAACATGGTACCGAGAGATTTAATAGAGACGCCAAAAAGGAAAAAAGGGCAAAACGATAAACAGGATGAAATAACCATAACGTAATCCATCAAACTCCCCTGTAGTAAGAATAAAGCACACCCCCCCCCCACAAAGCCCCATCTGGTTTTACTCACTTCTTGTTCTGTTTGCCGACTCAATAATCTGCATCAAACATCTGCCAAACTCCTCAATGATCATTCTCTCCTGCACGACAGGCGGCATCTTCATCCTCTCGGCTTCTTCAGCTTGGGCCAGCAGGCACGCAGACGTTGCTTCGGCCACATCAGACGTGATCAGGGCAAATGGTAACCTGTCATCCACAGACGAAAGACTTTTTCTCAGACTACAAAAAGATTTTCAAACATTTCAGTGTTCACTGACGAGAACCAAAAAGTATGAGATCCCACAAATGAACCTTATAAACCAGCATAAAACACCTGACACAGATCTAAACAGATATTTTCCAGATTTGCTGCAAGCATTAACTCACTGACTATGGTTCCCGCCACTGGTACGGGACCGGCCGCCGGTTTACTGGTACGGATCCCGCACCCCTGACGGGATGGACTTTGCCATTTTGTTCCGAAAATTGTGATCCCGTCGCATGTACGGAAAAGGACTCCCGTGCTAGTTTTACCACTTATTTCGTTTCCTACTGAGTTTGGCCCAAGTTGGGCGGTAAGTTTTTATGCAATTCACGGTGAAGGACAGTCACCTCATCTACAGTTCAACTGACTGAAATTAGCGCTATGTTTTGTCCATACGGTTGATAGTTGCGTCGAAGAAGTCACACGAACAAGAATCACATATATGAGAAAGGTACCAAAAGTCGCCCAAAACCGTTTCGAGCTACAGGCTGATAATTACAAAAATCACTTTTTTGACCAAAATGTGTTTCCATAAGCAAACCGCGATAGAACCACCATTTTTTTACAATGTGCTCAAAAGGTTTTCATTTATATACCTTCTAAATATTTTATTTTGAATTATTTTGAGGGGAGGGTAGTCTATAACAAAAACAAAAAATGAAAACTGCTTTTGTAAGGTGTTAAAATCTATTCTTGAAGCACGTTTTCACTTCCCTGCAATGTTTTACCATTGAATTCCATTCATGATATTGATGTCAAAGAATGCCAAATTGGAAATGAATTTTCCACGAATAAGTACATTTAAAAAATCGTTTTTTCAAAGTTTGTATATGTCCTCACTTTTTATTAAACTTAAAAAAGCTCATTTTCTCAAAATTATATTTTTATAACCTACCTCGCAAAATGTGCAATATCTCAAAAACTACTAGAGATATCTAAAAAATTCAAAGACCCCTGTGTTCAGCATTGAACTTCCTATAAGATACAACCATTAACTCAAAATGATCAAAATCCGACTTTTGGTTCCTTGCTTTAGGCACACATCCATATTTTCGCTTTTTTTGCAAATGCTTCTGTTCGTTTGACTATTTTTGTGACTCAGAATATAACGTCTCTGATAGTTAGGACCCTTAACCCCTTCGCTGCTGACCTATATTCCTTGCCCTATGCTGGCCTTGTTTCCAGGAATAGCACTTCAAACGGGTGATCCTTTTAAAGTGCGATTTACTGTGGTAATGCATCAAATGCATAACGATATCTATATCATTTAGAGGAAAATGAATGAACTGCTATTATCATCAGCAAAAATTTCATCAATAGCTTGATACGTTGAGGGCATACATCGCGAGTGTTCAGCCATAGCTCGGAGCTAGAGTGAGACGCTAGAACTGTGAAGAGGGAGAGACGCTATAATTCACTCTATTTCGGTCATTGCTGGTCTAACTAGGGCAAACTAAAGCTTCTCTAACTTGGGAAGAAAATAGCTTTCAGGGGAGCCCACTCTCAATACTAAATTGCAATTACTGGCTGAGCAGGAAACGAAACAAAATAGCAATATTGTTGGGCGCACACTGTACGCCTACAGCGCATAGAAGGCCCGGTTTATGGACGTATACTGTTCGCCAAGCAGCAGTGAAGCGGTTAATATGTACCCAAACACGGTCTAGTCGTAGTTTTCAGGAAAGATGTAGCACTAGTAGTGGTGCTGTTGTTAGTGCAATGAAATCACAACTTTGTGCCCAATATCTGTCTCGTGCAGTTCAGTGTACGTGTCTGCATCAACGCACATCCCAACTTTTATATTTTCACCAAACACTCATACATGCATACAAAAAAATAAAAAAATAAATTTTTTTTTAAAATTTAAAAAATGAACACTGAACTTTTATTTTTGATGTGAATTTCATTCTCTCTGTCAAGTCTCTGGAAATTTTTCAGAAAAATAAATTCACTTTAAAAATCATAAAAATCAAAGTATTGGACTAAAACTACTTTTGTTTGTAGTATTATATTAAGCTTGAATGTAACTTTACTATGCCAAAAAATCATTACAATAGGATAATTCTGAGAGTTGTGCTGGTGATTTGAAATACCCCTAACAGTATTCATCCCTAGAGACAGGTGAAAGGGCCCAGTAGTCAATGGGTTAACAACTGTCCTCAGCTGCTTTTCGGCAATCTTTCCACATGCATGAGGGGCAGTGTAAAAAAATTTGGTAGCCTGAGAAAACTAAGCACTGTATCATTTTATTTTTTTTTGAGGGGGGGGGGGTTTAAACTAATAGTACCATAAGAAAGCCCTTACATTCCACAGAATGTCAGAGTTTTAAAAAAATGTAAATATTAAAAATTTAAACGATCAAAGCAGAAGTCAGTATTTTCATTTTTGTTCTATATTGTGCTTAGTCCGTCTCATTTTTCAAGCCAACCAAAAACTCATCTCAACAATCTTTTATCTTGGTCCCATCAGGTCCAGGCATGGGATCACAGCATTATAAAATACAGTCAAACGTGCCTTAACGGAAACCTGTGTAAAACGGAAACCTGTCTTAACGGAATCTCCCCGCTCCCCCCTTGATATATTCCTCTTTAATCACCTGTATAAAACGGAAACCTGTCCAACGTGGAAACGGAAAGAAAAATCCGCTCCCTTCTCCCTTCCGAAAATTTCACCTGTCTAAGACGGAAAATGTTTTGTCCTCTCAACCCTGATTTGAAACAAAACTGGAAAGTTTGGTTCCGACGGCTCTAACCTTAACGCCATTGGACGAGGAAGGGGACTAGGGGTGCAATTTGGGGGTAGATGTTACCCCATCATGTGAGCCCTGAGCAATGCAGATGGTCAGTGTAGTGTGGGTGTGAAATCTCACGACTGCCCGTGAGAGTGCTCGAGTTGCGAGCCACTACGGAAACTTTCTTGGGTAGCCAGAAGCCAGAGGCGTGAAATTAGATTGACCAATGCCAGCCGAGAATAGAGTTCCTCGAATAGTTGTTACATGATGGCAGTGAGGGGTGGCATTGGTGGGTGGGGCTAAGGTTGAAAGCAAAGGAGATGTTCAAACATTCCTGTTTTAATAGGTCAAACAGTGGTCCTATGAAAGGCAAGCACTGGTGGTAATTGGATAAGTAAGACTGACGCTTGTCATTATCAGACAGGATAGCAGCTGAGAGGTGTAAAGTTTGGAACACTGCTTGCCGACCGGACAAGCAATCAGTGATCCCACTGGCTTGGCCTTTCCCCCCCACTCCATTTCGCCCTAAATTCCCCTGTCTAAAACAGAATTTTTTTCTCACTCCCTTGCGATTCCGTCTTACACAGGTTCGACTGTATACAGACAAATATTAAAAAATAACGAATGGAAGGTTAAAAAATATTTGATCAAACACTAATGAAACGCATTCATATAATGAATTTTCCGTCGAAGCCCTCCAAATATCAGTATGCTGGCAGTATTGTATACAGACGTAAGTCATTTTTGGTGGCCTTTGAGATAAGTCTGTATGCAATACTGACCGCGAGTAACATGAAAAGACTGGTTGGGGGGTGGCAGTGGTGAGAGGTGGGTTAATATCACCTCCACAAAATACAGAGCTTGTGACCACCATAACAAGCAAAAAAGATAGCTTCAGGAAGGGCTTTCTTCAATGAACAGGTAAGCTTTTGCCATGCGGGAATGAAACTAGCCCGGCAGCTATAGACCACAAAGGAGACCCACCGTTCCCCGGTCGCAGTGGCTGCTGGAGGTCTCGATGGCACGCAAGATATCTGGGAGGAGAGTTTCGTCTTGGCCGCTGTCTGCTGCTGCACTCTCACTTCTGCAGCATCTGCTAGGTGCATCAGCGTCTTGCGCTCGGGGCTCTCCTCAAAGTTCTTACACCCGAAGCATTTGCAAAAGTTGGAGCACATGATCTTTGCCTGGGAAATGAACAAAGTAACATCTTGAACTGTTGGAGCTAAGGAGATACAGATTATGACATTTGTGATTACATATTATGGCCGAAAAGCACAAGATGAGACAAGAAAGAGCTTGGAGACAGCAAAGATATAGGGCTTATTAGTGACACCTGTCAACCACCAACACAAGGTTCACAAGTTGGCTACCACAGATCAGAACTGTCACAGCACTGAACTTTAAGAGATTACAATTTTTAACAATTATTTGAACCATTGCCAAAACGTGGGGAAAAACACATACATCTCACATTAGTGTGCATAAAATGTGATGCATTAGTATTTATTCCTCCAAAACTTATACATATGTTAAATTAAGGATGTAGAACCTGCATTAGCAGTTTCAGACCCAGCGTCAGCTTTACAATCTTGAGTTTGTAAATTTTTTTCCAAAAATGTTCGTTTTTTTGTGATTCCTGGACTGTCATTTTGAGCACACCAATGCAAACTTCCAAGAATGTCAAAAATTTAGTATTTTTGGGGTTTTTTTTTTAAACCTGTGCTTTGATTCTATGCTATTTGTGATCGACAAAGGTTCACCTGCTCAAGAAATCGGTTTATTTGTTTGCAAATAAACGAATAATTCGGATCACTTGTGCGTCAGTGGTGTCGTCACGGACTAGGTGTTTCAGAAAACACCATTATTTTTCAGTAGAATCACCACAGCTGGTTAAATCTTTTTTCTTTTTGTCGTTTATTCAATAGTTCAAAAGCCGCGATGCGTGAAAGGAACATTGGGTTCCTAGATCTACGATTTCGGTCGGTTGTTTAACATTCGCCGTTATTGGCGTCACTTTGCGAAATAGCGGAAGTCCGAATTTTAGCCTACTTTTGTTTTGAACCGATCATCAACAGTGCCCGGTAGGGTAGGGTTGGGTCGGGCTCGCAAAATTAGCGTCCGCGAGTAACGAACAACTCGTTGGCACTACTACCCGCAAACGAGCGGACGGGTAACGAACCGTCCGTTTGTGAAGAGCAGTTCGCTACTTGCGCGCAGAGACAACAGTTCGTTCAGCGAGCGGGCGGACCGAGAGACTCCTAGCATTCGAGCGGGCGGACGGACGGACGGACGGGAACGACTCCTTCCATTGCCTACAACTTACAACTGCCCGCCCCCTCCCCAAATTAATTTTAAAAATCACCCTCCTGCCTCACATTGTAGCTAGGCGTTCATGGCGGAAATCCCCCCCTGGCCTTTGAGATAATTGGAAGGTAAACAGTGTGCCCACACACAAGGTGAAAGGTTACACACATAGTACTACGTCACCAGACTCTCTCACTCCCTGTGGCACCGCAAGTGGTTTGAAACATCAGGCCTAATTAACAAACAATAGACGACGGGTCTAATCTCGTGTCGAGTATCTCATCTGCTAGAGTTGGTCCGTTCGCCCGCCCGCCCAGTGAATAAAATTGTGGAGCGGACCCAAAAAACGAACTGACTTGAGGCTTGAGGTCCGCAGTCCGTTCGCTGAGAGAGTCAAATTGTGGAGCGGACCCAAAAAACTAACTGTCTTGAGGTTCGCAGTTCGCTCTCATGGCCGTCCGTTACCCGTTCGCTCTGACTGAGTCCGCGAGTAACGAACCTGTCCATCCGCACGCCCCAACTCTAGTGCCCGGATATAATTGTTTTCTTGAGTGACTTCCCCAGAACAGCGGAAGCAATGGGGGAAAGAGAAAAACGAAAGTAGTCATTGCCGTCACCCTCCGGTTACGCACAAGAATCTTGCCTTGACTTGAATGTGACGTACTGGACTGTTTTGCGTGTTTTTAGGCAACCCTATTGAATATTTTAGTGAAATTGCAGTGTTTACATTGGATTCCTGGAACAAGAGTGTGATGTGTGAACAAACTTCGAGAGATGGATCATTTCTGTGGTTATAGATTTAGCTTTTGTGCTTTGTGATGACGTTTGGGGTGTCGTGATGCAGCCGTACAGGACTGACTGACGTACTAGAAATTACATTGTCCTAAGAGCAAACATTTTTTATGTCCTGTGTGCTCTTTTTACTCAAACAAATAGACAAACATGTCCTTGTTTATCTGTCTAACTCAAAAGTACACATTTGTTCTTTGTTGGCATGATATGCCTTTTTCCAATACATTGTGTCATCATTGTTATGTACAAGTAATATTTTTCATAATTGCTAACATCAATAAGTTTTAAACAAATATTTCATACATGCAAGATTCATTTAGAAACAAAATACGCCTTTATTGATCTGTGTATCTCAGTGCAAATTTGTTCTTTGTAGGCATGATTTTACCTTTTCCCAGAATGTTTTGTCATCACTGTTATGTACGAGTACTGTTTGTCATAATTAGCAACGTAATTGTGATTGTCTACTGTCTTTGATATGACCTGATATCTGGTTTCAAAGCAAAAGAAACCTCTCCTGTTTTTTTTTAAATTCTTAAAGTGTGCATTTCGCTCTGGAGGCATGACTTTGTCTTTTCCTGTACATTGTGTCATCATTGTTATGTACAAGTCATGTTTGTCATCACTGTTATGCACAAGTCAGCCCCATTGATTTTGTGCTTTTGCCTCATATTATTTAGCAATGCCAATCGGGCTTTCCCGCGAGGCGAAAATTTGGTCCCCGTTTACGGGCGATTTTGCGGACCCGGCCGAAGCGTAGGTGACTAACTTTGTCAACCTCGGTCTGCTCTATTTCCGAACCAATCCGAATGAAACTCGGCAACCAATCAGAAAATAGGGCAAACTAATGATATGTGGACGTTGAAGTTCGTACACATAAATTAACCTATACTTTTGGTGTCGGGAACACTTTCGTATCGTGTACACCGAAAACTATAAGGAGTTTGAATTTCAACGCCCAGATGGTAATAGATCTATCTATCCTCTATAGTGTGCTCAAATTTGAGAGTTCTGTGTCAAGTAGTTGTTTAGACCCGATCGTAAATCTACGACTACCCCCCTTTCCAAAGCGGCTTCGCACGGAGACCGGCCATTTTCCCCTCACTCTCGTGGCAAATGTATGTGACCTACAAATCCCCGCATGACTATTCCGGGCCCGTTCATTGGTCACTTGAAATAGGGCAATGGTGGGCGCGCGCATCCGGTTGTTTTTCTCTCTATTCCCCTGTAACATCGCAATGGGGGTATTCCGAGGCGAGGTTATCTCGTCTCGGGGTGTTCGCGTCTCAACGGGGGAAAAGAATTTTTAATTGTACGGCATGCTAGATTGAATTAACTTATCTTTTACGGTTGGCATGGTCTAAAGTCATCATAAAAAGCTTTGCAATTATGTAGTCACGCTGCCGACATATATTCTTAAAGATCCCATGTGTTGTGATACGATGCTATAAATAAAATGGACTCATCCCGACACCCCTTTTTCGCAAAATCGTAATATGTACACCACAAATTTAATTATAACAAAATAACTACGAAATTGGTAGTAAATCTGACTGCAGAAATGATTTCTACACTCAAAAACACATCGGGTAGCCAAGTTTCTCTCGAACACTCGGATTAGTTACCGAGATATCGTCCATTTTCTTACAGAATCTGCTACTGCGTGGTCCACTTTTTAGGAGTATTTTCCTATATGTGGGTCATCCATATTTTGCCGACCTTTACAACCCCATAACTTTTTTATTTATAAACCGATTCTCAAAATTCAAGAAGCATAATTATTAGAATCGAAAATTCTTTCTTAGGTACCAAAAAAAGGGGGGCAAAAGTGAAAATTTAAATTTTCATTGGCATTGCTATATTAGTTAAAAAATTGTTTTACACATGTGTTTTTCTGGTGCTGAGGCTTCGATAACTATTTGTACAGCCTTTCACTATTGTGATGTGTTGTCAATGATAATGTCCAATGTGTATCCTTTCTTGTACATAACAATGATGACATGTTCTGAGCACTGCGTCATTGTTACAATGCTTGTCATTCATATTACCATTATGAATGGAGTTCATAGTGTACAAAGTGTTTGTTTACTAAACAAATGGAATTTAAAGTCTATAATTTGCCTTGCTGCTTATCTGTTTTTGTCATCACTGTTACATACAAGAAATACAGTGGTTGCCAAACCAATAGACCCATATCTCCAAAACCCTACATCTCCTTGCTCTGATACTCTAGGAATATGAGCTCTAAATGTCAATCTGTGACTGACAGATAAAAGAGTCAAATTGGTAAGAAAAATTTTTTGGAACCACTGAGTCTCAAGAGAGTCTCACGTTTTGGCAATTGCTCATTTGCGTTCTGAACAATCAACTCTTTGAACAAAATTCTGTCATGTCCTACAGAATATCAAGTAACAAACCACTTCCATCTTCACTTTTAACAAGACCAGAAAAAGCATCGGGTTCAGCTTAACATATATCTGAACCTTACCAGTATTCATTCTTCCATGTTCACATTATTCAAACTCAACAACTTATCACAATAAGATGGTAACTCACCTCATAACATTCACAGTAGTTCTTCAGGCAGCCTGACCTCTTGCAGTTGCATCCCTTGTTGTGCCGCCTATTTCCTTCGGTGTCTTTCGCTTTGCCTTTTGTGAAGGGGAATTAGATCACATTAAGACCATAATAAACACATTTTCTCCACATCAGAGAATACTTTTTTTTACAAAAAAGTTAAGCATATCAAATCTTTTATTATATCCAAAACAAGATTCTCAGCACTGAAATAAAATTTGCCTGACAAAATTGTGTTATTTGAATGAATATCCACATATATAGATATTTTCACCTCTTTAAAATTTAAAGGTTTCAAAACAATTGTGCTTGAAAGCAGTTTTTTACACTTATCATTTTTTAAGCCCTAAATATATTTTAGCTAAGAAGGAAGACTGGGATTGTAATTAAATGTTTTACACTCCCACTGACAAAATTTAGATCATTAAGAAAGCAGGCAACTCCAATATCTACCTGTCAGGGCCAGCTGGCTTCTAAGAGTTAAGAGGTGGTTTACATTGACCCTGTCAGGGTAAACCTAGGTTGTATGGGAAACATCACAATCAAAAGGTGGAGGCACTAGATCAAATATCTTCAACATGAAGAGATAATTCCTATCTTTCCTGAGCAAAGCGGAGAACTATCTCATTACACCAGTAGACCTATGATTAAAGGTGATGATATTTTAACCCCCCCAATAATAATAATAAACAAAAAAAAAAACAGCAAATAAATAAACAAACAAAAAAACCCTCAACAAAACAAAACCCCACAAAATTATCTAATATCTTCTCTTCTAACACCCTAGACCAAAAGCCCTCTGACGACGACATTATCCTCTCATTTCCATCCATCCTTAACAGTGAACACTCCAACCTGAGACAGCGGACAATTAGCAGAGACTTCTATTTATTTCAAAGTCCAAAGGCTGCAACACCAAATTTTATTGGTTCAAGACACTTGTATCATCAAGCCAAATCCCATATCACTGTCTCCCTTGCAAATGCATATTTATTTCAATTTTCCATAAAGACTCACCTATTTTGGGATGAAAAGCTTGAGGATTTCTGTCCAAACATGACTTAATGGCTTTTGACCTTTCTTCTTCATGTTCTAAATTGTTAGCACAATTTGTGCAATTGCAGTTCTGACAAAATTCACCATTTGCAAAACAGTCACAATATCTGAGGAATAAAATCAAAGCAAAAAATAAATAAGAGACAAAAATTGCATCATTATCCTAGAAATGCATCAGGAATGATTAGTAAAATTGCAATCCTCCAAACAAGTTATACAAAAAAGTTTTTACAATCAGGAAGAGCGGTCAGAAGAAAACTGACCAGAAAGGAACATTTCCTCTGGAGAAAGGAAACAGACTGAATGGACAATTTTTTTGGGTCCCTTATCCTTCACAACTTGTGTCATCAAAGCAGTACGCCAAGTAGGAGGTAATAAAAAAGAGATACACTGATACAGGCAATTATTTATTTGAGGAAGCAAATCTACACAATAACAGACATTCAGTACAGGATGAAAGCGATCAAGATAGAAATGATAGACGGAGAGTAAAGAAGCAAAATCTACCAGTGGCATCTTCCAACCACTCAGGCCAGTAAAAAGGATAGAAGAAATATATAGAAGTTTTAAGAACAACAAAACTGCAAACCATTTACTGAGCTTGCCTCAAACCGTTCATGGTGTACAAAAAAATCCCATTTAAAGTACTCATGCCCCACCGTACAAACAAAAAAAGATTCTGCAGCAATCAGGGACTTCTCCCGACAGATATACAACCCACATAAAGCTCAACAAAACTATTGGAGTGACCTGTGTCCATGACGGTCTGGTCTCACCCTCTTTTTACACTGGAAACAAAGAGAAGTACTCACAGCTTCAAGCACTGAGACTTTGTGCAGTTGCATGGTTTCCTCGGTCGGGCACCCGTCGCTTCCAGAGTAGGTCTGCAAAGGAAATTAAGAAACATTAAGAAAAAAAAACTTAAGAGAAGTTAGGTGACTTTGCTTGGTGGATGTGGGTGTGTAAGCGTATGTATGTGCATGTGCTTAAGTCCACATCATCATCATTGCCTTTCTCACCCTGCACCAGGGTATAAGCCACGGACAAACACCTTCCACCTTTCTCTATCTTGGGCTAGCCTCTTGATGTTAATCCATGTCTTCCCACTTTTCTGCACATCGATTTCTGTGATTCTTCTCCATGTTCCACGAGGTCTTCCCCTTGATCTCTTACCCTGTGGGTTCCAATCCAAAACTTTCTTTGTTCTTTGTTATGCAGCTGCCTGATTTCCTGAGAGTATGTCCAATCCATCGCCACCGCCTTCTTCCTACCTCATCTCTGACTGGGATCTGTCTTGTTTTCCTTAACACTTCCACATTGGTGACCCTGTCTGTCCATCTGATCCTCAGTAACTTTCTTAGACACCTATTCAAGAAAACCTTTACCCTCTTTATGCAAGTCTGTGATGCGTTCCATGTCTCACATGTAAGTCCACATACACGAGGGGATTTCAATAAGTCTTAGGTCTGAGTATGAAAGAATCATAGCAGAGTAATGAAATTCTGTCAGCCTTTAGACAGTTTCTTTGGAACACACCATGCAAATTTTCAGGAAAATCCGACAATAAAAAGGCACTAGTCAACATGTTCAATGAAACCATGTACAAAAACGTGTTTTTCTTCGCTAAATTTATCATTTTGACCTAGAAAAAAAATATCCTCCATGCAATGGAAAAACCCCTTCTTCTCCCTCACCAAAGAAGGCAAAGATAACACCCTCAGGTGGAAAGGTCATGCAGTCGTTTTTCTGGGATTGTGAACGTATCATCATGACGGGACTACCTGGAAAATGAAAAAAAAGTCACAGGAGACAACTGCTCGGGTTTGCTGATAAAATTGCAGTCTGAATTGCTGAGAAAAAGGCGTGGACAACTCTATAATGGGGCCCTCCTACTGCATGAAACAGCCCCTGCGCACAGGCCACAACAAACAGTCCAGACAGCAGAACAATGCGGCTTTGAAATCTTGCTACACCCAGCTTATTCACCAGACCCAGCACTCAGACTTTTTTCCGTTTTCTATTTTTTTTAAAATCACTGAAAGGACGTTGTTTCCATGACAACGAGGACGCCATTTAAGCTGTTGAAAATTGGTTAAGCGCCCATTCTGGGTCATTTTTTTCTCAAGGACTTTTGAAGGACAAAAGAAAGGTGCAAGAAATGTGTTATTCTGCACGGAGACTAAGTAGACAAATAAAAGTATGTGTGCTAAGTTACAAAGCTGTATCTTTATTCCTTCATATTTAGACCAAAGCCTTCTTGAACTCCCCTCATATATATGCCATATTTTGATTAGATTGGGTGACTGAAGAGGGATGAGCAGATGATGAATTCTACACACATGAGTATTTTTTCCAACAAAAGTAAAGCAAATGAATAGGCCTCAAGATTATACTAGTAACTCCAAATGCCCACAAATTGTTGAGCACTCGATCCAACGGTGTTGCTACACAAATATTTAATAAGAAATGTTGCACACAAAAGTGGAAAAATGTCATTTATAATATTTATAGAACATCACATCTCACCCACAAACCAAGCACAAGAATACATGACATCAGACTACATGTTACATTACCCATTCTGACTGGGCGTATTCCTGGACACTGTGTACTGTGTGATGGCTGGGTCGATACTAGCGATGGGCACATAGTCCCTTTGCTGCCTTTGGGTTTGTTGAATAGTGGCCTGGGCTGTTTGTGGCTTGGACAGCTGTTGCTGTAGCTGGAACAATGTGTAAAGATTGACATTTCCTTTTATCTTTATAGGTATTGAGACATAATTTACTTGGTAGACAAAACATAAAGGGAGAAAGAAAGGGGGTGGGGGGAGGAAGGAGGGAGATCGAAAGACACAGATGTCAAAGAAGTTCTTACAAACATTTTTTTCAAAAAGAAGGAAACGGAACGTTAAAAAATTATTTTTTTAATGTACAAACATATTTCGATAGCAAGTAAAAATGAAACCCTCCAAATTTTAGGTGCACCCTGAAAGGAAGGGTGTCACAAAATTACTCACTTTTCCTGGCGACAGAAAAGATAAAAGACAAAACAAATCTGCAATGTGCGGACATGACAAGCAGAAATCATGCAACATAGCAGCACATTGTCCCTCATCCCAAAAAGTAGCAATGACAATGAAAAATTAAATTTTCATCCAAATTGCTTAAAAATGGGCTTAAATGAAAAAGTAAATTCTAAGAACTATGGTTTTTAAATTTTAAAAATCCATTGATAAATAAAAAAGTTATTGGGATTTTTGTTTGCAAAATGTTGGAGGACCTTCATATAGGAAAAAATCGCCAAAATGTGGGACATGTTTTGATGTATTTTGAGGAAAAACTGTTCATAAGTCAGTAATGAATTGGAGCATATGAATAAAACTTGGCATCTTCATGTGATTTTTAGTGCAGAATCTAGTTCTGCTATCACTTTTTCGATGTCTTTATTACTTTGGATGTTAAAGACTGATATTTGCGTGAAATTTGTTGAATTGCGTGACATCGTTTTTACCGCGACGCGATCACCCCTTCTAAAACTCAGTAAAGCGCTATCGGGAAAACCCGCGATGTAGTCATTGGTGACCTATTTGGTTATAGGCAGCCAATCACATGCCGCCTAGCGATCACGTGCCTCTTGCATGCCGGCACCTCGCGTGATCTAGTTTCCAGATCTAGTGTTTTATCAATGGATGGGTGGTAATTTTAAGTTGGTACGGAAAATCTACTAAACGCAGAGATCTGAAATTTTACAACAATAAAGAAGACATGTGGGGCGATTGTGTGGTCGGCGATCAACCCGCAGCTCCGCTTAGTTTTCGAACCGCAGAAGAAATTCGCACAAACACGGCAATATCTCCTGTTCTAGTAATCGTTCGGGATTGTACGCTGGCATGTTATTAGTTTAACCTTTCCTCTGGTTGGTTGCCGAGTTTCATTTATTTTCGTCCAGGAGTTTTCCCGTAACTATACTTAGAAGAGAGTTATTTCTGATTCCGAGCGGCCCAAAAATTACCCCTCGCGCGGAGGCCCAGCGAGCGATAAGCATTGCTACAAAAAGTCACGACAAAGGCCTGCCTACCTGTGTGACATAGGAAGCTGGCACCAGTGCAAAGCCTTGAAGTCCTTGTATATTGCTGTTGCCAGCTGACAGTATGGCTGTGCCGGGAGGCAGCTGTCCCACCGAAGCAATGGTGGTAGAGGGTGCCGGTTGGATGGGGGCCAGGGTGGTCACCACACTGGCTTGTGTTGTCGCAGGTGCAGAAGTAGCAGGGAGGATCACACGATGCACACTTTGGCCACTTGTTGCCACTGGGACGACCGTCGGCTTTGGAGCCTGGGAAAGAGAGGGCAGGTTTTTTTTAATACAAAGGGGTTGAAAAAAAAACAACACACACACACACACACACACACACACACACAAAAGATTCAAACCAAAACATGTGGACTTAACCGCCTTACATAAAATGTAATACCCATACTGGAAAAAACAAGGTAACAGTAAACCATGATAACAAACAAATTTCTTATACCTAAATTCCAGACAATAACTGCTTTTTTCTTTACTAAAGTTTAGTTTTAGTAAGAGTTTTACAGCACTTGCAAAACAGTAAGGTCATATAAGTGCCGAAGAAGGGAGAGAGTAACATGCACAAAAAAAGAAGGAGGAGATATAAGGACGTTAGATGTTTGATAGGAAAGAAGGAGCAAACCACACCAGAGCACCCGCCAACCACCCAAAATAACTGCTTTTGTCATCGAAGGCAAAGACTATGAATTTAGACGGCAACAAAAACAAAGCTGTCAATTTACATATCAAAATAATGGGGAAGATGGACTACACTACGACGAGCAATGTGACGAAAAAGAATCTGGTGAAAAACTACTCATTTAATCGCACCGACTAAGTCAGGAAATGAAATATAAGACCTTGTGAATGGGAGTCAAACTATTGTTCAACTACATGTAAGCAGAAAACAATGGTACATAATAACTGTTTTGGAAACAGGCAAACACTCAGGGAAAGGAGCTGACTCTTTTCATCAAGAAAAACTGAAATATGTAAATCTGCTCACCAAAGGAGTGTTCTGGTTAACTGGCAATGTAATCTTCACTTGATTTGGATGTGGACGAATTGCTGTGGACGAGACGGTGATGGGAGCCATCGTCCTAGGTGCTTGGACGACCTGGGACACTGACATTGTCGGCTTGGCCACTGGAGGCATCACAAAAAAAGGTCAAGGAACAGCTTCACATATTCAGCTATCAACTTATTTATACTAAAATACATGTAAAGTGAAACTGATCCATACCAATCATTTGGCACCAAAAATGCACACATGATATCTGTCACGTACTAAAACTGCAAACAAAAGGAACATCATATCCCATTTCCTTTTTGTCTTGCTCCGTGTCCCTAATTTTTTTCTTTGGGGCGCTTGGTGCTGGTCAATGCAAATTAAATTATATAAATATGTGTGCGTGATCATGCAATGGCAGTACCTTGATGTTACTGCAAGAAATTTTATTGAGTCTGAGATTTTTTTAAAATGGTAAAATAATCTTTAAAAAGCAAAACAATTTTGGAAGTTGCCAGTGTTTTTGATACTCTATCGCTGTTTCTGATGAAGAGAGGGAGAGGACAAAAATGAACCCCCCCCCCCCCCCCACCCCATTTTTTGACAATTAAACTAATATGCCAAAAGTGCCAGTACCTGTAACAGTGGTGGTTAGAGACTGGCTTGCAGGTGACACCAGGCGCACATAATGAAAGCGACTCCCAGGGACCTGAATCTGCTGCACTGAGGCTGCATTACTGATGGACATAGGCCGTACATTTGCTGCCACTTGGGGTGCTCTTGGGTTGGCAACCACCTGAGGGGCTCGTGACGGCTGTACAGACTGTGGCGCCACCACTGGCCCTGGCTGTGCTTTGAGGGTTATGGCTGAGCCTGTGGGCTGATATTTAAACACAAGATTAACGGCAAGTTGTCACAAAAATGCCAGGATTTTAAAAAACATATTATAAAAGCAGACTTAACCTATCTCTGCTTTTGTCTTTAAATAATAAACATATAATTCTTCAATCCTCTTACCTGTGTTGTTTTAGTCAGCATATCCCCAAAGGGGGGAGTGTCCATTAAGGTCACCATCACGTCACAAAAGTAAAGTGAAAATACAGCCAATATTTTAGTATTTAGTCTATTCACAGCTCTTTCATTCCATCCACATTTTTTTTACATTAATTTCTATTTTAACCCATGAACCAAACCAATTGCAAACCCAAGTTGTTACTGTTAAATCCCTGTGATCACCGAGCTAACGCCTCACCATGCAGTAGTGTAAATCCAACATTAGTGATTTAGTCTACAACTAGGTGAGGGTGGTGGTGGTTGGGCCAATCAAAAATAAAATAAAGTTCTTGACAAACCGAAAGGGGTCAATTCCGACTGTGATACACAAAAAAAATAAACTGATTCATTATTCTTCAGAGCCATCACAGGGTTCACATTCCAGTCTTTTGATTTTTGTTTTAAAAATTTTTTTTAAAGGCGGACAATTCGTGTATTAGTATTTTAAAGAAGGATGGGGGCGGACCTGCCACTCTATGAAATCTAAAAATCAGGATCTCAGGGTAAAAAAAATCAAGATCAGTGACAAATCACCAGGGTGACTCCACGGGTATCAATAAAAAATATCCATATATATCTGTCTCTCTGAGTGTGATCATTATTTTTTTAAATCCTGAAGTATCACGTCAAGCACTCCTAGTCCAAGTGTCTACCCCCCTTAAGTCTCGAAAGACGCTTCAACCAGCGTGCATGAACTTCGGTTGACCCCATCAACGGACGGTCCCTGACACACGCCGAAGTCACGTGATGCGAACATGCGATTGAAAGTTTTACTGACCGGTCTTGATGACGGGCCCGATTAACCAGCATTTGGACAAAAGCTTGTTTTGAAAAGTAACAGCAGAACTACAAATATTGATCATTTGTATGACGCAACAAACATTTATCGTTGAGATTTGAGGCAAAAAATCGAGATACAAATAGGGATGAGTAGCCATGTTTTTTGGGGTAATCTCACTGCAGGGGTAAACTCAAGGCACGACACCGGCAAATGTGAACGACCAGAATGTGGCCGGAGCTTCTCTGCTGAAGCAAGCCCGTGTTGCCAGAAACTACGTGGGGCTGATAAGTAGGTCGACTACTTCTGACAAAAGGTGACTGCCCTGCCGTGTATGTGTGTGGGTGTGTCGATGTGTTGTCAATTGTCAAATCATTGACTCGGCTTCAGGATGGAGAAGTAGGAAAATGACGCTTGCCAGACGCACACAACCTATGTTTTAAAGTGTGTGCAAACCCCCGAAACGAAATTTTAAAGAGTAACACCCACGCACCACCAAAACTTAAAGG